ATTTGATGGTAAAAACCATGGTTTCCTGTAAATTTTCCCTTAAACCAATCCAGTGATATTAGTATTGTGTGTTTTTTTTGTGTATCTCTGTGTGTGTTTTGTGTTTGATATTTTTTGCATACATGTTCTATTAAACATATATATATATATAAAATAGATATGCACGTCACTTGAATATGTATAATATATTTTACACACATACATTTATTGTGTACTTTGTGTTTTGCTTGGGGAATCCGAGTGCCTGCCAGTTATGTCAGTCTCCATGTTTCTAATAAATTCTTCATGTTTCTTTTGGGTGAACCCCCCTTTGATCCCACGGTTGCAGGTAAAATGCCAAGTTATGTTGCTTAACATCACTGGTTGGTGGTTTCAAACATTTTTTATTTTCCATAATATATGGGATAATCTTTCCCATTGACTTTATGTTTTTTCAAGATTGTTAAAACCACCAACCAGATCACCACGCTTCATACTTTAAATATCTTATTGTCGGTTGCCTTTCGTCCACTTTTTTGTTTAACGTCCGCCAGTTGTGTTGAAATCTCAGTTGTCTCGAAAGATCATCATGGAATCATGGGTCAATATTCATATCCCGAATCTGACATGAATTAACATGAATTGACCCACTATATCCCGAATTAACCAGTGAACCCAGAAATATCCCGGATTACCCCTCTGGTAAACGTTTACATAGCTATGGAAAATCACCTTTTTAAATGGGAAATCAACTATTTCTATGCCCATGTTCACTACGTTTTTGTATGTTATACTTGGGATACTGGGAATATCATGGGGATGTCTGGACAATTGGGATCTAATGGGAGAAACATGGGATATACCCTCCCGTAATCAAGAGGGTAACCAGTGAAGCCCCTACCTTTTCCTTCAATTTCCATCCCACGCCTTGGCTGCCGTCAGGCTGCCAAGGGGATCCCTGTAGACCAGCTTGGGCTGGAGGAAGCCGAGCGATTGTTTGGGGGCCATGGCCTGGTGTTGGGTGGCCACCATGGGTGTCAGATTTCGCCATACCGTGGTATGTCATGGTATTTCCAAATGGATTTACCCTCTGGTATATTAACATAGACCCTGGCAGATAGGGGTTGGAAGACTAGTTTCCATTAAACATTGATTTTCAGGGTCGAACTGTTAATTTACCAGGAGTTACAAATCTCCAGGTATTTATCACGGGAAAAGTCATTGCTCACAGCAACACTTTCACTGAATTCACCTCAGGGGATTCTAACATCATCACCTCTGTCATAAGTAGCTAAACATAGCCGCTTTAGGGATCCATATGGATCCATCATTGGGAAAAACAACCACGAATTTACATTGCCCATCCAATGTGGGATTCACCCTGGCTGCCATAAATCATCCCCAAAATCACACATTTTTAATGGGTTAAGCATAACTATCATATAACTATCATATCTTTATTCTTACGAGTTTCTATGAGTTTAATGGGTTACGGGTTAAGTATAACTATCATACTATATATATATATATATAACTATCATCTCTTTATGAAGAGTTTCTCACATAAAAAGCATCATGAAAATGTCCGAAACTGCCCGCAGCTGTTGGTCTCAATAAGAAGTTCACGCCACGCGGCGCAAAGTGCACCGCTGCGCCTGGCGGATCATGAAGGAATCGGGATCCTGGGTACCAGTTTAGTCCAGCTACGGCATCGTTGGTTTTCATGGTGCTCCCTGGTATATGTGGTTGTTTCAAAAGATCTGAACACTGTAAATGTATGTAAATTTTACATTGTGCAATGATGTATTCTCATCATGTTTTCTCATGTCAATGGCGATTTGGGCATCCCCCTATTTCAAAATTTCATCAGAAAGTTAACCCATATCTACTACCCAGTCTTCTCTCTATCCTCAAAAGGGCTTGAGCGGAAAAATGTGACGGTTCGAACAAGAGGTCATGAAACCATGATTTGATGTTTCATCAATGCTGCATACGTGTTTGTGACGCTGAACTGAATGAACATGAATAAAAAACAAAAAACCATCTTAGGATAGCTTAAGACAGAGATCAGCCATCACCATCCATCACCTTATTTTATCTTATTGTATGGTCCCTGGTTTTTTGTTTTTTCGTCAGCTTTCGCTGCTTTCGTTCACAGTTTCGTGTTTTTTTCGTTCGGCCAGGAGGGAAAGAAAGGCCGGGGATGCTGGGTCCACCATCCTGGTGATTTAGACTTTTGTATCTTTTGTTTCCCCGTGTGACAGGAGTGTTTTGCTGTGTACAAGAGAGGCAAGTGGAGAAACTGTGCTCTATGATGTTCATTGATGTTCATTGATGTTCTCTGTGTTTTATTTCCATGGTGTGATTTTTGTTCAGCGCTTCCACTAGTTGCCACCTGCGATCCGTCCATGCAGTCTTCTGCCACCTCCAACTTGGAGAAACCTGATTTATCATGGGTTGAAGAGAAAGGAGGAACCCGCTAAACTGTTTAGTGGATGGAAATTTTAAACACTGTAAAAAAGCCGCAATTATATTCAACCAATCAACATCGGCGCATTTTGAATTCAAACAGCTTCAACCTCGAGACGGGACGATGGAAGTTGAGGCACCTACTACCCGCCATTTCCCGTGCTGGGCTTGGCGAGCGATGGATGCTGGGACCTGTAGCCTGTGAACTGACCAGGGAGGATTGGACCCTCATGATACGTGACACGAATCGTGACACTGATTGTTTTACCCTCTGGCTATTTAACATAGCTATGGAAAATGGATGAACATGGTCCATTTATAGAGGAATTCTGATGATTTACCTATCCAAAATGGTGATTTTCCATAGCTACGTTAAATAACCAAACGATAGATGTTTAGGCAAGTTGGCTCCATACCTGGATGGTTTCGTACCTTTTGAACATGTTTTTATTTTACGTTTAAGTCGATGGAAGATAATGCACATGTTTTTTATAAACATGTGAATGCCACATACTATATGTTTAAGTTGATGTTTATGTCTAGATGATGTGTGCTTAGATGGAAAAAAGCTGATTTTGCTTCGTTGCAAAACACTGAGGACAGGGGGTCTTTATGTCCTGTGGCGGTGGTGGTGAGAAAGCAGCCAAAGAGGTCCGGGTTGTCCGTGGTAAAGGGCAGAGGTAACACCACTGAGATTGGTTCACCAACCAGTTTTGGGTGGGATTTACCAGCAAGAAATGGTAGTTTGGCGATTTTTGTCCAGCAATTGTTGGGTCTTTTGGTGGATAAACCAGGATCTACCATAGGCTATTTTGGTGAACCCGTCCAAATCTGACAATTAGACTGGGCCAGCCAGAATGAGAATATGGTGTCAGAAAATATTCATATGAGGTCAACGACCTGGTGACTGGTAGGCTCACTCAAAACTCGGTTGTTTGATATCCAGCCAAAATTATTTGTAGGAATCCTTGATCAGAAATGTTTGATGGATTTCCCGTTGCTAACGACAGGAAAGGGTTCGTTCACGTGGTTTTCAACCAACATACTGTAGAAGGGCATAACAAACATAGGAGTTTCAGCAAGGAAAGCTGGGCTAAGCAGGCTCAATGATTATATATATATGTTTTGTTTTAGCTACTATGCATGGAATAATGAACAAACAAATAAGACAAATCAGTATATAAATTGTTTGAAGGGCAATCATCCCTTTTCTTTAAAAGATCAGATTGACGCTTCTTAAGATGAGCTTAGACTCAGACTAACTATGACTAACTTATGACTTACATGTTTCACACATAGGACGCAACAAAACAGCATTAGGTATCTAAGGATATCCATTGAAAACACCATTGGAATCAGGTGCATCGGTGCATCGCATCGCATCGCATCCGCAGTTTTTGAGGTGCCCAACGTGGTCCAAGCGCATCGATACGATGAGAGCACCGGAACGATGAGTACCATCGCATCGTTGGATACAGTCAAGAGCTGCTTGGATCATCGCACCGGATCGCTGAAAAGACGTGGGAAAAGACGTGGCTCTTGAAAACTGCGGATGATCGGAGAAAAACCTCCAATTTTTTATAGTAATTTGATAAGGGTCAAAAACGACTATGATGGCATCGGAAGGGATGGGGATAGAATGGGCTTTGTCCAGAAAAATTGGAATTGCTTGTTGAATTCAACGAAATACCACACGAACCTGTGGAAGTGGATCAGTTGATTGTTGTTTGATCGTGGGGTAAACATGAAGGGGCCCGTGAAGCAACAAACAGTCATATGGGAGTGAACCATTGAAGCCATCGGAATGGATGGGAATGGTATACCGCCGCATGAAGCACCAGGTTCAAGTTCATTGAGCCGCTGTACTGCCAGTTGTGCAATATCATCAATTAGAACAATAGACCTTTGGGCCACTATTCCAGTAATATAGTGTCGCAAGTTGACAGTAATTCGCAACTGTATGACTGTAGGTGAGGCGTTCATTAACATGTCATTATTAGCCATGCAAAGTCAGAAGGCCTCTAGCATGAGTTATTTAGCCTGGCATTTTTTAAACACCAATCTCGATTGGTGTTGGTTATATAATAGATCACATTTAGATCACAGCTATAGCATACAGTTTTGCAGTTGTTTGCTTAAATCCATCTACATCGATCCATATAATTCCGTTTCTTCATGGGGTACCTGCCTTGGTTTGAAACTTGTGGGCTTGGTAAGCAAACGTCTCCAGTAGTCAAACATGGCAGTTGGAAATCCCCATCTTTTTCTCTCTATACATACATGTATATATATATATATGTTCATGTATATATATATATAATTTTGTGTGTGTGATTGTGTGTCTATGCATGTGGGCATGTATATAAAAGCGAAACCATGCCTTAGAATGGTGGGTTTTTCAGAGGGTAGGAATTCTGGATATTCCTTTCATTTTTGCCTGGCAGAAGATGGTACTCAGGCAGCTTTGGTGACGCTAAAATTCAACATCTTACCACCCCGTTTTCGCTGCTTAAATCTTAAAGGTGTGGTCGATAACGGGCACATGTTGCTCCATGGCCACTCCTCAAGGTGTGGTTGTCTTCTTGAGCTACGGAGACTTGGCTGCGCATGTGGAGCTTTCATGGGGAGACATCAAGAGTCCAGCGGAGTCGAAGAGCCCATGAGTAGCCAAATTCACAGTGTTTTTTTGTTTCTATCATTTACGATTATTCTTGTTGTTTGTTTGAAGATGTTTGAAGTACAACTAGTTAATAGCATCATTTTTACTAATTTCGTTTCCCATCCCCGCCCCCCAATCCGGTTAGCCAAAGTGATGCCCAGGAAAAGCCCTGGATGTGTGGCTGGGCAGCGTCTCTGGAGGTTCCCGAGCTTTTCAGCTCTCGGCCGGTGAGCCCAGGGCTTCAGGGTCGGATCTGGAAATGGGTTGCTTGTCATGAAAAAATCAATTGGTTTAAGGGAAAATCTACAGGAAATCATCGATTTTCCAATGAAATATGGGGCTTTCCTGTAAATTTTCCCTTAAATCATCTTAAATCAATCCATTGAAAAATGGGAAAGTACGCGAAAGTCCTGTATCTATGGGAGTTCTAGGTCCTAGGTCATTAAACGGCAGGATATGGCAAGCATCTATGAGAATTATAGGTCGTTCGTCATTCCATTTTTTTATGACACCTGAAAACCTTGGATTTACTGATAATTGCATAACTGTCAAGACAAAGGGTGATGATTATGCGTGATATGGGGAGGCGTGCGGGGTCATTGCCTTGGGTTCTTACGCCAACTGTGATGCCAAGGGATAGTGACGGTTCATGTTATCCTCGCAGTCACTGGCAGTGTTGATCCCTACATCAACATATATATATATTTATTGCAAGTGACTGGTATATGTTTATGTAGGGATGTTGATATTTGCCATCCACTATATATTTTTTATTTTTCACATGCATAGTGGATGGTACAGGAATGGTTGCCAAAAAACACTTGTGTTTAAATCGGTGAATCTACACCATACAGTACACCCAGAGAATGCAAAGTGATTCCCCCGAGTTGTGTTTGTTTGTTTATAACCCCCAGTCATTATCATATAGTATCAGATATCAATATAATTATATATATATACTGTAAGTGTATGTATTCACCACAAACCATAAGTTAATATAAGTTACCCTCTGGTAAATTAACATAGACCCTGAAAATAGCCTTATTTGAATGGAACTAATCTTCCAATCTCTATTTGGCAGGGTCTATGTTAATTTACCAGAGGGTATATCTCATTATCATCCCATTATTCACTATTGTTAACCATTAAATCACCATTTTCCTATGGTGAACCATGTGGGTTATAATAATCCACTTGGCTTACACAGTGGGCACCCACTTAGGTGGAGAACAATAGCATCACCCAGCTCTGCGAATGGACCACCGAGACGGAGGGGAAGACGCTGGGATTTGACGGAAGCGTTTGATAAAGTTGGTGAAGGGTTCATCCCAATAAAGCATCAATGTTTAATGGTTAAATCAAGTCAAATCCATCACCTTAGTTACCATTGGTTGATCATCAATTCAATAAATCATCAAAGATGATGGGTTTAACCGGATTTCAGCAACAAAGACTATAAGTTACCAAGAAAAACCTTGGGATTTGAGCAACAAAGCAACACTGGTTGGTGGTTTGGAACTTTTTTTATTTTCCATATATTGGGAATAATCATCCCAACTGACTTTCATATTTTTCAGAGGGGTTGAAACCACCAACCAGTTAATCATCAACAAAAAATCCACAAGAATCAAAAGAAATCAATAAGAAACAATAAGAATCAAACATCAACAAAACAGTAAAGAAACATCAATGAAATATGAATAATAGTCAATCAGAATCAAATAATAAGCATCAACTAAACATCACTAAATTAGTGGAACAATACTTAGTGGTGTTTTTTGGAACTGCAGTGGCGGGGTACCGATTGTAAGAGTATTTTATCACATTTTTGGTGACCCCTATTATTTAACAAATTTGGTTTTATGAATCCGGGGTTGGCATTAGTTGGGAAGGCGGCTTCATGCTTGGCTGATTTGTGAATTTGTTCTAAGAACCAGAAAAATAGGTGGGGAAAGAGTTTGCGGGCATGTGTTTCGTTCCATCTTTTACAGTAAATAGTGGTATGAGTACTGTAGCAGCAGTTCATATTCAGGTGTTTTAGGATGTTACTAGGTTATAGTATGTTGACTGTTTTTTCAATCATATCTGGTTGGTGTTTTTTGGGATGATTCTCCCAGCCTGGTGGCAACAGAGGAGTAGGGAAATTGGGTATTATGAACCGCACAATGGTGACATGACCGACCAAATATATATGAGGGTTTAAGTCAGCAAACTTGATGTCAATCCACCCATGGAGCATGTAGATTGAACCAACCAAGAATCAGGAGATAAACCAACCAATGAATCGCGATATCTCATCCAACAGTGGTGGAATGCAGCCATGGTACGGCAGGCAACATCCAAACAATGGCTGCAGATAGTACGGGTGTAGGGGTAAGGCTGGTCTTGATATCAGAGGTTGCACTGGCACCAACATGTTGCCCAATATTTTGCTGGCGCTACTGAGGGGGCCTAGCCAGAACGTGGTCAGGCAGCTTGTTGTTGAGTTTGTGCGGTTTTGTGGCACTGGGAGAGCGAAAAGGAGATAGTGGGAGGACAATTCATGTAGTCTATCCGATTAGCACCTGACACCATCTACTGCATGAACATTTGGATGGTGGCTTCAATTTTCTTAAGTTTGCCCCACTTGGGGTGATACCCCTCAATAGCTCCCAGGGTGCAGTGGGACCGAAAGTACGCCCACATTTAAGACTGACAAGCATAGCCAATGTAGTTGGGCATGATAGAACTTAACCATAGCAACACATTTTTTTATATCAGCATCTAAGAATGGGGATGATTGTTTCCAGCAACAACTGAAAGGTGGTGCTCCCACAGTGATAACCTTTATAAAGCCCATAAACTAGTTCTAGTTAATTATATATATATATGTATATACTTATTTATTCCATTAAACCCTAGTTGACCTGAACCCCAACAATTGGTGATTTGCACCAACTACCTCAATCCCATAAAAATCAGTGAATCAGCCTCAAATGCCATCAAATCAGAATGAAATCCGCATGAAATCAGCTGGGCACCAGGCTCTCGCCCTCCGGGCACTTGGTGGCCACCGGCGGCACCGACGGTCGGGTGAAGATCTTTGAGGCAAAAATTATACCTTTGGTGGATGGGAATCCCAGAAAGATTACGAAGAACCATAGATGTATATAGATTTATGGGAAAATGATGGAGATTTATTGGGGAAATGATTGGGATTTCTTGGGGAAATGATGGAGATTTATTGGGGAAATGATGGAGATTTTTTGGGGAAATGATGGGGATTTCTTGGGGAAATGATGGGGATTTCTCGGGGAAATGATGGAGATTTCTTGGGGAAATGATGGAGATTTCTTGGGGAAATGATGGAGATTTCTTGGGGAAATGATGGAGATTTCTTGGGGAAATGATGGAGATTTATTGGGGGAATGATGGGGATTTCTTGGGGAAATGATGGAGATTTCTTGGGGAAATGATAGATTTCTTGGGGAAATGATGGGGATTTCTTGGGGAAATGATGGAGATTTCTTGGGGAAATGATGGAGATTTATTGGGGAAATGATGGAGATTTATTGGGGAAATGATGGAGATTTTTTGGGGAAATGATGGGGATTTCTTGGGGAAATGATGGAGATTTATTGGGGAAATGATGGAGGTTTATTGGGGAAATGATGGGGATTTCTTGGGGAAATGATGGGGATTTCTGTGGGAAATGATGGGGATTTCTTGGGGAATGATGGAGGTTTCTTGGGGAAATGATGGAGATTTATTGGGGAAATGATGGGGGTTTCTTGGGGAAATGATGGAGGTTTCTTGGGGAAATGATGGGGGTTTCTTGGGGAAATGATGGAGCATTCTTGGGGAAATGATGGAGGTTTATGGCTTTATGGGGAAATGATTGGAACTTATGGGGAAATGATTGTAGTGAAGTTGATTTATGTCAAAAAGAAATGAGATGGGTTTATGAGATATAAAATCCAGCATGACACACATTTTACAAACAGAAATGGGGTGAGCATGAGAGGTTAATCAACACACAATGGACAATTGGGGCTCCACCAGCAGATTATGCCTTTTAGACATCAGGCAGCCTGCGGTTTTCAGCCGGCAATTTCTGGTGACATTCTTCGGGATTCTTGGGGAAACCATGGACATGGCTCCATATTCGCTGGGATGAACCTCCATATTCTGGTGTACAAAACCATTGCGCTGTACCAAAAGATCCATAAGCCCTAGCTGACCTACTCTTATAAACTATAAGCCAACTTAGTCCAAACATGAGAAATACCTCCGATTTTAAATCAGATGGTTGCTTTACAAGGTAAAATGATCATGAACCATTTCATTTCGGTCTGACCTATTTTCAGACACACTATCTATGGATAAGTGGACATTTATACATTCATGATATTTGTGCACGGCATTGTTTTGGTGACTGAATCTGACTCTGAAAACCTGCAAGTTATCCAAATATGACGTGGATACATTATACACGTATATTCAATATACAGTAATATAATTATAATTTGATAAAACAACATTTTAATATACTATACCCTGAGGAGCAAAAAATGGTGCTATAAATTCACTTATCAAAACGCAGCAGTTCTCTTTTTTGAATTACTCATGGGCTAAAAGGTGGTGCTGTAAGTGCATTTATACCCATAACAGAACCCGTGAATATCCGCAAAATCTGCCAGTCAGGCTTAGGGCAACATCTAGAAGATTTGGTTTTGAAGGGGCTGTCATTGGCTGCCACGAGCTGTAAAAGGACGCGCCGAGTTTATTCACCGCCCATTTTTGCCCCATGTTTGTTGGTTACCCTCTGGTAAATTAACATAGACCCTGAAAATCACCAATTTTTAGAGGAAACTAATCTTCCAACCCCTATCTACCAGGGTCTATGTTAATTTACTGGAGGGTAAATTTCGCTTCTAGTTGGTGAAGTCACCGACTGGTTCCCTGGTTCGCCCAAGAATTGCCAGGCATCAAAGCTTCAGGTTGAGCCCGTGCTGAAGCACAACTGTGCCACTGGGACGCCTTTTTTTTAAATGTCGTGAGGCATGAGCAGTTAGCAGCTGTGGGTATCAATATGCAACCAACCATTTCAATTCATTTTAATTACACGGGTATGATGGGATATGCAGTGATATGTTTATCTGAAAATGGCCATGTTGCATCGTGTTGCCCATTTAATATGTCATTTTAATGGAGAACACGGTCATTCAGCAACAGGTAAAATAAACAAACCCATTTGGTTGGTGGCACCATTGACGGATCATCACCAGCGACCATGCGAAAGATCGTTGGATCACACCTGATGATGGTCCCAGGTGTTTGTTGTTTTTTGCTTGGCGCCTGTAAGAGGGTCCTGCGTGCACTTTTTGCTCCGCCTATGCTTTTTGTTTTTGCTTCATGTTGGGGTGGGGTTGGCTGGGTGGGGTGGGGTGGGGCAATAACGTCCTGTACTTGCACACCCTTTTGCTGTTACGTCAGAGACTTTTTTCTTGCTACGTTATAAGAACTTCTCTTTTTTTTACTTGTGCATTTTTCTACGCTACGTTGTATTTTTGATGCTATTTTGTAAGGATTCTCTTGCACTTCCATATCTTCAATATAATGTCTTTAGAGTTGATGCTACGTCAAGACAACGCTATGTTATGAAAATTACGAGTCAGAAGATCTTGACTTGTACTTCTACTACAATCCGATGCTACGTTATTATGTAAATTACTTGATGCTACGTCACAAGAACTTCTCCGGAGTTGACACTACGCCAGAAGACCTTGACTTGTACTTCTACTACCACGTGACCACATACTGCCAAAAAAAACTGCCAGAAAGACGTGAAAAAAGTGTACGAAGTGCTGGAAGGGTTGCCGAAACCCACTTTCTGAGCAAACCCTTTCAGAGGTTTTGCATGCTTTTCTGGCAGATCGATTTCAAACGAAATCCTTCAAAACCACCATTTTTAATGATTCTCAAAAGCCATGAATCCGAAACATTCACAAACGCAGGGCCCCTTTTCTAGGCGCCGGCACCTGGTTTTTGGGCCGATTTTCTTCAAAAAATCCTCCGTGGCAAAGTACGGTTGTAAATCAACCAGCTTGGCTACTTGGGCCCAGACAAATGATTTGTTTTCAGTGGCTAAACCAAGTCATTTTACACATCAACGCCCTCATCACAGGTGTAACATCTTAGAGATAAAGAATTGTTCAAGGTTGGCAGATGAAGGTCGTGCTTTTAGTTCTTTAAAACTTCGAACACCACTTGGTATTCCCCATCACTGGGAAAGAAGAATTGTTTCATGTGATCCCACATGGGGTGACCTCTGATGACTGACCATACTGCCTGTTTGAACTGAACTGTTTGAGTTTGAACTGTTGAAATCAGTTAAACAGATTTACCCTCTGGTTATTTAACATAGCCATGGAAAATGGCCCATTTATAGATGGTTTACCTATTAAACATTATGATTTTGCATGGCTATGTTAAATAACCAGATGGTAATAAGCCCATTTCATGCGATAGAATATGTATATATATATATATATGTGATATATGTGTGTGTATGTTCACAGTTGAAGTTGAATCATGCCAAATCCAATCAGATCCCAATTTCTTGATGTGTTTGTTTCCACGAATCATCTTAAACAGCTCTTTTAAAATCCATGCTCACAGCTATATTCTTTCAAATGCAATTTGAGTATTCACATCTTCATCCCACTATTTTTTTTTCCTCCAGGTGCAGTTTGAATCCCATTAAAATCCCATTGAATGATAAATAGTGATGCTAACTGGTTGGTGGTTTGGAACATTTTTTGTTTTTCCATTATCTTGGGAATGTCATCATCCCAACTGACGAACTCCATCATGTTTCAGAGGGGTTGGCTCAACCACCAACCAGAATTCCTGGTTAGCTATTGAAAATGGCCATTTCTAGTTGATTTTCCCATTAAAAAATGTGATTTTCCATAGTTATGTTAAATTACCAGCTAAAATGGTGGTAGGTAAACCACCAACCAGCTAAAATTCTCATTTCCCCGCATGTTTCTGAGGCCAAGAATGACGAGGTCCTAGACCTGGACTTCTCTCCTGAGTCTTGGCATCTGCTAGCGATTGGTGATTGGTGAAAGTATGAAGGATTTTGTGCAGCTTTTAATGAGATTCAATGGCATTCAATATCATGTTATTGGGATTTAATGGGATTTAGAGGTCAACCATATCATGTTTATATATTTTTTGATGGGATTCAATGGGATTTGTCTTGGGATTTCATGGGATTTATTGAATGATAGTAACATTGAATAGGAATTAATGACATGTAATGGATTCTTAGGAAAATTGATGGGATCATATGTAATATGAGATCTATTGGGATCCAAATTGAATGGGATTTATATAATGATATCCAACGGGATTTAACGGGACATAGTGATTGTCATCCAAAAAATTGATGTAGACCAGCCTTGTCTGCAACCTGGAGAAAATCGGAGGCTTCAGGTTTGACATCAGGGCCGAACAAGCCAGCGGGTGGAGTTACGGTCTTGGACCCTTGGAAAGCATGGTTTTGTACCCTCTGGTAAACGTTTACATAGCGAACTGGAAAATCACCATGTTATCAATTGGTAAATTCACTATTTCTATGGCCATTTTCAATAGCTAACCAGAGGGTAGATGTTTGGAAGTTGCAAGTGCCCAACTGGTTTGAAAAGGGCCGCCTTTGATTCGATTGCGATAGGAACTCTTGAAATTGGAACTGCGATGAGACAACAAGCTGTGAAAGGACCGTTAAAAAGATTGGCTGCTGGTTTCACCGGTGATTTACGTGTTCCATGTTGCCACCATCAGCCGGGTGATAACCGTGTATGGAACTGAGCCCAAATGGATCAAATGGATCCAACTGGGCTATAGTAAATATCGGCCTCAAAAATTAGAAAAAAAAACGACTAAATTAGGGATAAATGTGTGTTTTGTCTTTTTGGGGGTTGCGCATGCCAACATTGCAGGCAAGACCACACACCGTTTGTAATTTGTACTTGAGGCTGCACGATTACATCATGTTACATGCCTTGAAGTGTGCCATAGTGTGCCCCAGAACATATGAACTTGTCATAACTTGTCAGTGAACACCTGTGGCAAGGAAAACCCAAAGCCCGGCAGACAATTATGTGCAGATGCGGAGAAGGAATTAATCTTTCCTCAGCCTCCAAAACAGGGAATTGCACTCGCCTAAATATACACATGTTTGTTTTATGATTGATGCTGTAATACATATTTTGGTTTGATTGTCAATTACACCGCCAATGAACAAATGAATTATTTCAACACGCAAAGTTTGGCTAGGCTATAGTGTGCAAATATGTTCCTAGGTCCTAGTAATCAGTCATGCCACCAAGTTACGTGCAATTTGGCCCTCCACTTTGCTGTTTGCAGCTGATTGTGGCCTCAGGATAACAAGACCTTAGCCTCTTGTGATCGTACCGGTTCTTGTCGACTGTGGGACCGAGGGCGGGGGAACGAAGTCTCCATGTTTCTGTGTTTGGGCACATCTAGGTCAATCTTAGATGGGTACTTTAAACCTTTAGTCTTTTGGTATTAATGGGAAAATCTAAGAATCTAAGAATTTAATTGTTTGCAGGGTATCTAAGATTGGCAATGACATGAGGGTATGCCATTTTGTGCCGATCTAGTAGGATTGAGTGGGATGTATGCATGGCTTTGTCCCCAAATCTTGCTTCAGCATCAAGAAATATATGGCTAAAACGCACTTCCAGTGGTTTTATCATCGGAGAATGTCACCGCAGGGTGAATAGTCTTGAACTTCGATCATTTGAATGACTTGGTAACTTGGTATGCACTCAAATGAGCGGCAATCAAACGTTGCAATCATGCGAGTGAACATCCCCCATGTATGAATGATTTCCCAGTATTTTCCCATTAAAATGCCTATTTATAGTGGATTTTCCATTACCATGTGTGATTACCAGAGGGTAGCCATGTCATGGGTTCGTCTCAAGTTTGGGGATATGCCACAATGGTATGTGTTTGCAGGGGCAATGATGATAACCATTGGCGTGTTGGGGAGCCCCATATTGAGACAAAACCCATATTATGGCTAGTTGTTTATTTAATCATCAAATCATCAACCAAATCAGAAGGATTGGGGGTTAATGGGGCAAGATGTTAACCAGCAGCAATAATCCATAGAGTTTATCACAAATTGAAGGTGCTGCACTTATTGCCATGAAGGAATTTTGAAATTTATGATCAATCATGAAACGAAATAGGGGGTAGCATATGTTGAGCAATGTTGAGGTCTGACCCAATACCATCTACACACAAATACGTTTGATAATATTACTAAGGTATTTGCAGTGTTTTTTCTTCAAAGTTACATCGCTGATAAACAACCTATCAATCCATGATCTGGTTGGTGGTTTGGAACATGGCTTTTATTTTTCCATTAAGTTGGGAATGCCATCATCCCAAGTGACTTTCACTCATATTTTTTTCCGAGGGGTAGGGCTCAACCACCAACCAGACATGTAAACTAAGTCACACTGCCTACAGGAAAGCCATGTTGGTCCCTCCAGGACTTGGCCTATGATGAAATCTGGCATGTTTAGTAAATGATGCAATTGCATGTATGTGTACATAAGTATATTTAAAATTATACATATATATACACATGTAGACTTCAGACTATAATTCATATATATATATATCTATATATATACAATATATGTACAATATATATATATATATATACAATATATACAATATATACAGTATATACAGTATATACAATATATACAATATATATATACAATATATATATATATATACAATATATACAATATATACAATATATACGATATATACATAAATTGGATCAGCTATAGCTGGCACCCTTGGAGCATGACTTGATGCAGGACCCTGCCAGTGGACAGCAGTTGAAAGTCATCGACTACAAGCGCCTTGCCTCTGGCCAGATCGATGATTTGCCTATTGAGATTGGATGATTGGTAAGTTTCCATAGATGCCATAGCTATCTCAAATTACCAAAGGGGATGGATGATTGGTCCTTGGGCTCTTGAGGTGCCTATTTTCGAACCCATCGATTACCAAAAAATTCTGAGGTACAGGTATTGGGAAGATATGGGACGTATAGAAACACATGGAACGCGGTATGGGGAAATTGGTTGCAATTTTGGACATTAAATCGGGATCACTTGAAAGTAAAATTTGTTGGCTGATTGGTTGAGACTGTTTTTTGTTCAACACAAAACTGAGCAAAAATTGGAGTTCAACCAACAAGAACCTATAATGTTCTCAGTTTTTAAGGGTTGAATCAGCTTAACGTCACGTTTTGGTGATAGAGGGTAGTGGCCATATTTACCTATACAAATGATGGGTTGGAGATGGCCCTGTGGAATTGTTTGATGTGCAGTTTCTACCAACTGGATGGCAATCTGGTTGCGTAATTTTGACCTATATAGGTAGCCAGAAAGAGCTATCCGCAAAATATGGCTAGATTGCAGATCCAAAATGTGATGGGCGAGCCATTGTGGAAATTAAGGCCACATATTTCATCATTTTTGGCAACTACTACTGCAAATTTGATCCACGTTGGTTGCCTTTTGGCATTGAAACCTGAATCCCCTGGCTCCACAGCAGATCCAACAAAGCTGGTGTCAGGTACTCTGGAGCTGCTGTTTCAGTTCGAGTACTTAGATGCTTGGTGAAGTGGATATTGAGACCTTGAGCCGGCCACTGAGCTCCTATGACTGGTTTGGATGGGTTCAAATTAGGTGAACATCGGGGATGGTCTACCTCAGACAATGAATAGAATCCATCATGATCATAATTCATTGGATTGCCATTGGAATTGCCAGGGCCAATATTGCACAAGAATATTTCTTCGGTTTGTCTTAAGATAGGCTATCGCAAGTTTGATGCTTTATCATATTTTTAAACATACCCTCTGGTAAACTAACATAGCTATTGAAAATGGTCATAGAAATAGTGGATTTACCCATTAAACATGGTGATTTTCCATAGTTATGTTAGTTTACCAGAGGGTATCTTTGTTTCCTATTAGAATGGCGGATTGGGGGGTTAAACCCCCATGGTCGGAGACACATAAAGTGTCCCAAGCTGTTCCAATTTGGAGGGCCTGGGACCATGGTTAAACCTCCAGCTGTGGCCAACTCAGCCTCGGGGCGGCATTGGAAGCCATACCATGCCCCCAAGAAGTTGTTTCTTCTGGTGTACCATACTGGTTCTGATAGACGCAAGTTTTGGCTTTAGGACCATACCTAAACATTGAGCGAAGCTTTAGGACCTACTGTGAACAGTGGAGTGGGATAATATGTCCAATCCAAGCTTGTTTCAGAGATTTGTGAAAGGCCCGATTCCAACATCCATGTTTTTCGGAAAATCTCACAATTATAATTATATATATATAATATATATATTATTACATTATCCATTATCCGTTATATCATATCTATCTATCTATCTATTTATCTATCTATCTATCTATCTATCTATCTATCTATCTATCTATCTAACTTTCTATTTATCTATCTATCTATCTATCTATCTATCTATCTATGTATCTATCTATCTATGTATCTATCTATCTATCTATCTATCTATCTATCTATCTATCTATCTATCTATCTATCTATCTATCTATCTATCTCTCTACCTACCTACCTACCTACCTATCTAGATTATCTATCTATCTGTCTGTCTGTCTGTCTGTGTCTGTCTGTCTGTCTGTCTGTCTGTCTGTCTGTCTGTCTGTCTGTCTGTCTGTCTGTCTATATCCACTATGATATTGCCGAAGGCAGCTGATTTCGTTTTCTCCTTCGGAGATCTTAGGATATTTGCCGCCCGCAGAAAATTCGCCACAGCTGCTGCTCGCGGCCATGTCGGCGCCCCGTGGTCCTGCGTGCAACTTGGAGCCATGAACAATACCACGCTGGTAATCTCACAGCACCGGGCAAAACAACATAGTGACTGCAGCAATACATGGATATAGTGATATAGATATATATACTTATATACTTACTTATATATAGATATACACATACGGACATATATGCACATATATATATATTACATATATTTTTTAAACACATGCATACATATATATGTACATATTCATATATATATATATGAATATGCAAATGTTGTTCCCCAAATGATAATAAGGAGTGTTTGTTGGGGAACACCATGGTGATATCAATCTTATAGCATCCAACTGGTTTTTCGGCAGGAACAAAGGATGAACAAAAGTAGGGATCTAATGAAATTTAAAGAGCAACACGTGGGAGTACTGGCATTGAGCCAAGGATGGATGCCCGCTTGGACTTGTAAAAAACATATTCAACGGATATCATTGGAGCCTACTAATTTTGCCCAGAAATAAGGACCCTAGATTTTGGAATCTTTTGGAAAATCAGGGCAAGTTCTTAGGTCGCTGGAAATGTTATTATTTCCATTTGTTTTGACCATAGAGCATTGAGTATTGAGTGCTGAAAATGTGTGGTATGTACTTTGAAATTTAACATATTTGCTTGTGTAGTATATCGTATAACTACATATAATTACCATTTTTTGTTGCTGTTTTTTTTGTTTTTGTTACACGTTTGTTCTGCTGGCAAAGGGGTTGTTACCCAGCGCCCGGCACTGATAGGTATAGCACTTTACAACAACGACGGGAACATCGACTCTTGCCGTAGGATGGGAACGTCAATCATGGGGGATGTGCATCACCAACAAAGACATGGGGAGTGCATAAAAAGCCTACAGGCCTGCAGGTTATGGTGATGTAGTGGGTTTTAATGGGATGTACTAGGATATACTTGGATATAATGTGTATAATATAATGGGTGTTTTTTCCCACCTGCCAGGTGGGGGTCTCTAGATTTTAACAAAGGTGCAACTCCTTCCTTCTCCTTCTCCTTCTCCTTCTCCTTCTTCTCCTTCTTCTCCTTCTTCTTCTTCTCCTTCTTCTCCTTCTCCTTATCCTCCTCTTCCTCTGCCAGCTCTGGATGCAGTGGGTGATGGGTGGACCCGAACTCCATATCGCCAGCTCCGGATGCTGTGGAGTGCGCCTGGACCTGAACTCATGCCAGAGAGAACGCCAGACAGAATGTCAGATAGAATGCCAGAAAGAATGCCAGAATATTATATATATATACATATATATATATGTGTGTGTATACATATTTACTTTTATATGCCATATATACTTCCAGATGGTATGCCAGAAACTATGTCAGAATGGTGTCTCAGGGCGGGAATCATTCGAAGAAAGTACGTTGTACGATGGAACTTGGACTTATTTTTTGACAACCAACATTCGGAAGCACCCAGGGACCCAAGATATAGTGATACTTACTGGGATGTTTCATGGGGTTTTTCAGGGATTGCATGAGATTGGGTATACGCTGGAAAGAGCGCCTGTGATTATTTGGGATGCTACCCGGCCTGGTAAACATAGAAATAGCTATTGAAAATTGCCATTTATAGTGGTTAAATGGTGGTCAATAGTTGGTTAATAGTGGGTAAACATGCAAAAACTATTGAACATGGCCATTGAAATAGTGGATTTACCCATTAATAGCATTGTGATTTTCCAGAGTTATGTAAACGTCTACCAGAGGGTAATGTGTTTGTACTGATTTTCCATTATTATAAAGATCCCTGATTCCAAATTGACGATCAACTCCAACTCATTCTTACCTGCCATGATGACATTTGGCATTTTTCAACAATCCATGGTCTGCAAATCTCCAAATTGGGAGACGTTTTTAGTCATGTAGACAATGAAGTGGAGGAACAGGGGCACCACACTGCAGAGATTGAACCCACACCTATCTACAGTCCTGCACTCCAAGGGCCCTTTGTTTACCATTTCACTGCATGTGATTTTCGTTTTGCACCCTTGAGGTCAAAGAAAAGAAACTGGATCAAAGCCCACTGACAGCCATGGAGCTTGACCATAGCGCGTGACTCGGACCCCAGCATTGACATTTGCAGTACCCTCCAGTAATCCAAGAAAGATGTGGAATCTTCAGCATTTCTAAATCATTTCTTCGGAAAAACACTACAGATTGTTTATAATCTACGTTAGTTTGCCTTAGGGTAATTCTTGGTGAGGAGTAGATGTGTCTCACCAAGAAACATTTGGAGAGAAAGCACACACACAAAGGTTACCAGGTTTATTGTTCCGCAACAACAGCGGGGATCTAACAATGAAACCAGCGGGTGTTCAACCAGCAAAAGTGCAGATATGAACTTGAACCATAAACTCATCAAATCCACGGACTGGACTCTTGAGTGACACCCTTCGAACCGAATTGCAGAGAAGTTTATTCAACGAAAGCGCTGACGCAAACACGTACGATGAGCATCACTTGGTGCATAGTAGGGGGAACTATAGGTGATTTTGTCAGTTCAACGTAGGGATGGTTCATACCCAGCTAGGAATGAACTGTATCGTATGGTGTTACTAGGGTTAATCCAGTCGAAGACAGGGCTGTCGCCCGTAGCTTCGGCCCTGCTGATGCTCCACTGTTTGGATAGTGCTTCTCACTAGACATGTTGTTATTTTTTGGCGACACATGTTTTTACCCTCTGGTAAGCAAACAGTTTGCTATTGAAAATGGCCCAGTCGAAATAGTGGATTTACCCATTGAAAATGGTGGATCTTATAGAGGGTAACTCATAGGTCATTGGCATCATAATCCCATGAAAAATCCCATTCGAAATCCCCCATTCTCCCTAGAGAAATGCGAAGAATTGGATTCCATGCGAAGACTTGGAGCTGTCATTTCTCTCTGTGTTTCTGTTTGGTTTTTTTAGGCAGCAGGTGTGCGTGAACTTCGTCACAGGAGGAGCCGTGCATGGAGTTGCTGGTGAAATCCTGTGACTAAATCATACCAATGTGGTTAATACTATGATTCAATTATCAATAGTTGCTGATTATCAACATTAATGATGAGATAGTAATCACTACTATTAATGGGACATGTGATATATCACTACTATTATTCACTAATATCACTAATTTGGGTAAACCAATGACAAAAACCACCCATGACTGGGAATGGTAAACATACATGTTTATACCACCTATAAAAATGGTGATGACTGGGGGATGGTGTATTATTATAACCACAAATTCGTAGACATGTTTTGTTCTATTGTTTGGTCCCTCCATTTTCTGAATGTACTACTGAAACCACTGTTGTCTTGGGAAATTGACCAAAAAACACGTGGCGAAAATAGGGACTCAACTTGATATGCGCACACGGTAGGAACAAGGTTGTGTATACATTTATATGTTATCATAATTATTTATTGTAGTTGTTTTTGTTGGTGTGTGTGTGTGTCTGTTCTGTTGCTTCCACTGACATGGATGAAGATAGTGATGCTACAAGAAATCATGGTTTCGTCGCCCCATTGTCATGAAATTTGGTGATGGCTAGCCAAACCTTTGTGATTCATGATGGCTGGAGTGAAATGGTAAGTACAAATAATGTTGCACACACACCAAACCATAAGCTCTCCACTGTTCAAACATGTGGATAGATATTTATATACCTTTAACAAAATGCGTAGTTTGTTTTTGTCTTTCAGGGTGTACTATATGGCACCATAACCCCCATTGCCGCCTCTGCAGCGCAGGAAAGCGCATCTATTCGATCCCTGCCATGCGATGCTACTCGCCATGCAAAAACGAACCCCAGTGGGTGACCCCTCAAAAATGATGAGATAAAACTAGAAGCTGAAAATACTTTCTGGATGATTCTGGCCCAAAAATCCAAGTAGCATTGCAGTGTACAATGCATCCAGTCGTTTACAAATAATTATGCAGTTGGGTGTTGTTTTCCCCATAGGGCCGGGTACCAGTGGTCAATTGGCCAGTCCTCCGCTACTTCAAAAAGCGCATGGCAATCCAACCGCCCACAGGTTTGAAAAAAGTGGAGAATGCAGCTTGGCTGACACAAGATGCATTGCATTTTGGCGGATAATGACAGCTAAAGATCTGGCAACCTTATCATAGGCAAAAGGGCCTATGGTACCAAATGGCCGCTAGGAAACGTCGAGCTCAGAATCTTGGAATTTGATATTAAATAAGTTGTCTGAGAGTCAATATGAGTACATTCGCGGGGTAAACAGTGTTATCATAATGTTAGTGGTTAAATAATCTATTTGAGTCCATTTGAGTTCCCCCTGAGACTGTTAGAGCTTCCATTGAGCCTCTTTGAGATTATTGCATTCTGTGCATTAAAAATGTAAATGAGTAAAATCGAGTGACTTCGAAAGAAATTGAGGTAATTTATGTTGCCCAAAAAATAACACTGAAACAGCACTTCGAAAGAAATTGAGGTGATTTGAGAACCCCCCCCCAAAAAAAAACTGTGTCTATTTTGTTGATATACAGCAGTTGCAGTAGAATGAGTTCGCTTCAATTCTGGTTTCCTAATGCGCACTACGCTGCTGAATGAAAATCAGGACATGATGATTACCGGGGCCCCTTTATTTCAATCTCAACTTTACCCAATAGATTATGTAGTATACACTTCCGTATGCATGTGGCCCTGCTCCTTTTGTGGACCTCGGTTTGGGTTTGGTTGTTTGTTCCCCCCACCCATTCTGTGAGAGCATTTGAGTGAGATTGAGTCAGGGTGAGAGCTTCTAAGTGACACTAGCCCCCCATTATGTGAGAGCATTTGGGTACATTATGAGCAGCTCTGAGTGAACAAATCCTTGGACCGGAGAAAAAGCCATTGAATTAGTTTGGTTCCATTTGGTTGCAATTGAGGCCATTTGAGCAACTGGTCAATTAACAACTAAAATTTGCAATTGAGACCGTTTGTTTTTTTTGAAACATTTTGAGTGTTTTTTTCTTTTTGGTTGTTGGCTATTTGGTAATGTCTTGGCATCAAGTTTTGGACATCTCCATCAGCCGCTTTTTTCATCCCAGCGAGCTGTTCTGAGCCAGCTAAAGTGCGCACAGAGAGCGTGCGAAATATTTTGAGATTTCAAAATCCGAAAATGGCCCCTCAATTTATCTCAAAAAATGGCCGAGAAAAATATGTCACTTTTGATCAATTTTGGTTTGGTTTGAGTGGTGCTCGAGTGCTGCATGAGCATGTTTGAAGCCTTTTGACTGGTTTGGAGGTTAAAAAAAATTACTCAAAATTTTGCATTTCCTCAAGGCCATTTCCTCAAGGCGTGTATTTTGCCTATGACCTTAAGTGTGAAGCCATGAAAACATGAAGGATGTGATTTCTTGAATGGATTACGGACAAATCCGAAGCATCATCCATCCCAACAAGCATGATCTAGACTAGAAAAGATATTAAACATGTGCTGAGAAATCCTGCTGGTTTCACGGTAGTTGCCTTGGGGATGAAAAGCTTTAACTCATCATGCTGGCTTGTAGATTCATGTGCTGTTCTCTCTCTCTCTCTATATATATATATCTCTCTCTCTCTCTCTTTTGCTATGTGCTGTATTGTATACAGTATTATATATAATATATGTATATGATTTTATCATGTATTATGTATCTCTATCTTTTGTACATTTATGTTGGTTTGTTTGTACTCTATATTATTGGGAGGGTGGTCCAAAATTGTCAATGGTTTTCCTTTTTAGGTCTTGTGTTTTTTTTTCGCACCACCCAAACACAAACTGCATAGCTGCTATGGCATAGCTTACGTGTCGTCGTCTTGGATGGTTGTTGGGTGCGGCATCAAGCAAATCTTCGGCCTCCACCGCATGGGTGGTAGCATGTTTGGACCCATCATTAGGGGTCCCGCAGTTCCAAAATCCACAGAAACCAGCACATTTAGCGAAAACATTAGTTTACTGGAGAAATTTCCTAGAAAACCATCACATTTGGTTGATTTTGGCAACACCAGGGTCCACTGGCAAAAACGGACACATGAAACCCATCAAAATCCCCATGTTTGATGGTAAAAACCACTAGTTTCTCATACTCACCACATCTTACCACCAAAAAAACAAATTTCTCATTGATTTCTGATAGATTTCCATAGATTTCCTATATTTTGGTCTCTTTTTCAAGACCTTTCACCAGCCCGGAAGCGTCTCCGAGGTCCATGAACTGCCAGCGCCCTGCGCCGCCTTCGTAGGGAACACCGCGGTCTCGGGCAGTGGAGATCGATCCATCAACTTGTGCCTTGGCGAGGCCCAGAAAACAACATCATGAACAGATGGGGAACCAATAAAATAGTCTATATAATATGGTGTGTAGTTATATACATTTATACATAGATCATGTTCAATGATATGATTTAATATAATCAATTATATATATATATACGAGTGTATGTCTATTCATGTATATTATATATATATCATAGACAAATAGTATTAAACAAACAATTTTGTTTGTGTTCATAGTTATTTAAATTTATATATATGCATATGTTTTAATATACATATACAAATGCGTATTTATAGTATTATTCTGAGTTACATACATACAAGGAATGTATTGCGCCTTGAAGCATCATGGTGTATATTGGCAAATCATGTGTTGCAACATATTGAAATATTATTGGCATTCTTGGAAACATATTCACAATCAAATAGAACTGCGGGTAAACTATGGCATTCGTGATTTTACAGTAGGGTGGCTTGGTTTTTGTGCATCATTGGATCCCAGCATGACACATGACATCTTGGTACCACTTCTCCGTGTCGCAAATTGAGACCATGTTTGCACTTCAGGGCGCATGTTATTTTGTCTTTTCATTTGGAGCCCTTGCTGGCCAATTAGAAGTTGGAATTGAGCATCCCAATGGCGGCCATTGTCAGCCTAGGCTTACCTGTAAAAAAGGTGGATCCTCTGGTGGCGGAGGAACCAGTTGTTTGCCCCTCGGCTGTTTGGTCACCACTGTTCCGGAAGACTGGAGACTGATTTCAGTCTGGATCCATGATGCGCAGAGAAAGAGAAGGAGAGATTCCAGCTATTTCTTTGACTATTTAAATCATTTGACCTTGAGAGTCAAAATGCGTGGCTGAGGTATTTTTTATTCCTGATCTTTATCACGATGGTTGTGATCTTCTTTCTCTTGCGCATAGGCCCAGCACTGCAGATTGTCATTCCAGAAGAGCTGTTTTTTTTGGGGGGGGCGGCGTGCCATGTGCTGAAACCCCACAGTTCCAGCAATATAACTGCAACATGGACCGGCCCAGCAAATGCTGTTTCAGTTACGTCCCAGACTAGTTTATTTTCGCAACATCTTTGGTACAGTTTTAGATGCTCACCAGCTGTTACCCAATATTGAAACCCAAGAGCCGCATCTTTTCCCAGTTTCAAGCCGAAACCTACGGGAAACCATGGTTTTGACCCCGAATTGTCCCAACTCGAACCAAAATCTATAGGAAACCATGATTTTGACCACCACAATTTCCTAATTCCAACCAACACCTGTAGAAAAAGAATGAAAAAGGTTGGTTTTGATCTCAAAATGCATGGTGGCCTCTGGCACCATGTTCCTTTCGCCAAAGTCAGCGTTTCGCCTGGGGTTTGTCCCACGCAGCCAGGCATAAAGAGCACCATGCTGTCGGGCGAGCTCTGAGCGCCACCCGGGCAGTGACTGAGTGGGATGAAGCCCATAACTCGAGGTTTTAAATACAGGAACCGCGAAATAGTCATGTGTCCATGTTTCGGACGCTAAGTGTATCTAAGTGTTCAAAATCAGTTTGTGGGTTTCAATGGCCGCCAACTGGAAAAGGTAGGGCAAAATTGAAGCAGAAATAGATCCCGGAACTTCCTTTGTACTTCAGAAGCCACAGGCCATTCGCACTGTTCCTGATGTCAGGAAAGTCAGCTGAGTGTTTGGGATAAAT